TGAAAACTCATGACTCCTTCCAGAGTCCTGACACAGCTTGGCAATGATTGCCAAAGGGTCAAAACAATTCACATGAAACCAATGAAACAACCACCTGTGGGTAAACAAACTCCAAACATATTCCAAAGCAGCAAAACTCAGGAGAAGCAAATCAGATGATTATTGTTTTCCTTTTTCTCTTCCCAGAAGAAAAATCCTGGGCAAAGGGATTTTTCCAGAAGCTCTGAATATGACAGAGTGTGCTCAATGAAATGCATTGCTTTGTTGGCTAAGATTTATCCTACAAGTAGGGCTTTCAAACAATCATGCATCAAACTCCTTCACATTTTGGGAAGTTTTACACTCAATAAAACAGGCAACTGAAACATCATCTTCCAGGAGTGTCACAGCAAGTACACTTAAAATTCAGGTTGTGTTGGGGGACAACACTGCAATGAATACAAAGAGGCAGGATTGACAATAGATTTTTTCCAAGTCAGAAGGATTAATTCCAACTCTCACAGAAGATCTAGCTCTTTCCGTGTGGGATGCAAACCTTGTGGCTCTGAAATAATTAGCAGGCAGACTGCAAGCCTAATGTGTGTTACACAAGATAAAAATGGACTTTCTTTAAAAATCATGATGTGTACAAAAAATATTATTTGAAAAGTTAAGACAGATACTTTAACAGCTTATACCCATTTATTTATGAGCTCATAGAGGAGATACAAAGATGACTACACAGTTCTGCAGTTTTAGAGTTGGCATCAGTTGTTAACTTGGCTTCCTTCTAACAAAAAATCCTTTACTATCAACAGCAGACAGCCAATAAATGGACTTTTTCATACACCTGCCTTTTCTGGGGATGAGAGGGGCACATACAGAGTTGTATCATGCTGAATACCAGACCAGGTGCTTTTTTCCCCCAAATTAAAGTCTCAAGCCTGAAGATGCTGCACCATGAGGGTGCTGTGGGTTTCCTTGAGCCTTAGGGTATAGACAGAGAAAAGTTTGATTTATTTGTTCTGGATCTTTGTAGAGATTTATTTACATAAATTGCATTTAATTAGCCACAGTAAATGGACTATTTTTCCCCCATCTCTGGCCCAGGGATTGCACCAGGGCTGTGGCACCTTCCAGCAGCTGTGCAGGAATAGATCCAATATTTTCTCCTCTATTTCCCAACGTGACAAATAACTTCGAAATAACAGCAAAGAGATCTTTCAGTTATAAAGAGATTATGAAAGGGGGAAATGGGTCTTTATAGAAAGATGCATCTCTATGTAATAAAATATTGAATGTGATGAAGTGAATTCAGGCTCATAAAATGAATTCAGCCTCATTTTTAGTGCTCTAAAATGATAATGTAGAGGAAAACTTATTCCAGACATTTCTTCAGGCATTGCAGTTACTTCATTAGCCTTTATTTCTTCTCACTTCTGCTCTCTTGACAGCTTTTCAAGTCTCAGGTTCTTCCTTTCTGAAATGCTTTGATGTGCTCATCTGTTTGACAAACTGTTTAAGGTCTTGATCTTAATTTAACATTTGTAGATACCCACAGAGGGTTTTGTTAATGAAGTCTTTAAAATACCAAGTGAAGTTCTAGTTTTCTTCAGGAACAAAGTTTTATCCTTGACATTATTTTTCCTTTGGAATGATATTCCTATTTAACTTCTAGGAAATTTTTAGTCTTACAAAGCAGCAGTTGGCTTGTAAGGGTAGGGATGTAATTAAATGAGGATTTTCTACTTCTTTGGGGTGCCTTTTTTTTAAAAGAATAGGAATACATCATAATTGAAAATGTCTTTTGAATGACAGAAGCCTTTGATACCACAAAGGCATGAGAGTAAGTGGTTGCCCAGCCTCACATTAGGAGAGCTCTTACACTTTGATGGATAATACTCTGTTTTCTGGATTGAAGCCATGGTTTTTGCTAGTTGGTTTGGTGTAAGGTAATTAAATTGAACTAAGGGTTACTCATAAACCATGTTCATGAATTTCAGCAGTACTGGCAGTGACAGCAATCTGAGCTCCTGAGTCTGTGATGTGGACTGACAGGAATAACTCATTACCCTGCTGTAGCTGGATCTGGCATTTCACATCTCCAGTACCAGATGCAGTGGCTATAGAATCCTCCTTGAAAAGCTGTGTATAAGAGGAGAAGGTTGACATGAAGAGAAAGAAAATGTTTCCAAGTGGTGTGTGAGGCTAGGAACTCATGTGTGTTTTATTGTTGAAAATCTGGTATATTTTGGGGCCCCTCTGTGGTGCTTTGGGACCTGCTGCAGCCCAGAGGGATCCAGAGGAGCACAGCCACTCTGTCTGCTGGAATTCACTTTCTCTGGAACTGTTTTCTGCTTGAATCACACAAGTTTCTTTGCTATAGTAATGTTTGCATAAAAAAAATTTACAAACTTGGGTAACAGTTTCCTGGCAGTGTGAGCAGCACAAATGTATTGTTGGTACTCAGGCATTGGCAGTGACCTTGGTCATAGCAAAGTGGTCAAATTGGGATCTCTTTTTGAAAAGACAGAAAAATTTTCTTGTTTTCAAGGGGAAATTTGGGGAAAACTTCTGAAATGTAGATTTTGCTGTTGCTTTTAATCTGCCAACAACTAGCAGAGTTTTGGCTGGTTGTTTTTTTTTGGTTTGTTTTTTTTTTTTTTTAATTAATTCTTTTTCCTTAGTGTTTTCCCTCATAAATGAAATAATGTAAATAAATTACATAAATTATCTAGAGTAATGTAAAATAATTCCATTAGCTAATTCTGTTTGGCTAATTTTTAAAAGAAAAATATTTTGCCTGAGGTTAAAGCTAAGGCTCCACATGCACAGCCCTGCTGCCTTTAAAAGCTAATGCAGGCTCACTCTTTAGATAAGGACCAAGTGATCCTCAGAAGTGAGAAAGCTGCATCAAGAGATTTGACAAGGCTCATTAAAGTTCAATTAGAAAATTCGTTTTAACACTAGGCATCCTGCCCCTTTTATTTCCCAAGCACAAACAATAAAATTTTCATCACATACAAGTACATACTTAAAATGTGCTATGGAAATAAATAATCTTCATGTTTAATTCATCTTATATAATAATTGATGTCCATTAGGGATTTGGATCAGCATTAGGTATAGAGCTGCACAGCATGGCATTCGATGTGTGATTCCCAACTGTCCCTACTGGGAAGTTTGTCAAGTAAATTGAAATAAAAATTATTTTCAGAAGAGTTATGATAGATAAAGAGTAAAGAGTTGTAAAGAGTTCATCTGTTTTCTGAGCAATGCTGTCTTGGCACACACTCAAAAAAACTTGACTCAGCACCTTTACATTGAGTGATTTCATGATTCTTTTGACTACTTCTGTAAGTTTTATTTATTTAGCATCACACTATTTTCAGTTATTGGGGAATAATCCCCTCCTCCTGCCCCCAATATTACAAAAATTTAAATTTGCACTTGGCTGTTTGATGACAGGGTGTGAGTTTTGTGGGGCTCGTGACATGGACATTTACAACATCAGTAAATCCAGGTGTGGAGTTGGAGCTTTAGGCAGCTCCCGTGTGCTGTGGCTCTTCAGGCTGCTCTTAATTCCTTTTTTGCAGCGATAAAGCTGCCAAGAATGCAGAGCTTGTTATGCCATGATGGATGTCCTGTGGAGTCAGTCCTTGTCCCCTGTGCCTGCCCTTTCCCTGCCTTTGTTTCCTCTGCAGTACTGCTTATCTGGGAGACATTGTGCAGCCTTCTGAAATGATGCAAACCTTTAAATAAATGTGATATTTTTGGCTGAATGCAGGCGTAGGGACTGCTGTGATCACTTTCTAAAGTGCTGGGTTGTGGATGTTCAAACCCTGCCTTTGAGTGGACACTGTCTGCATGTGAAATTATTCATTAGAAGGTGATTGGGAAATGTAAATGAGCCCTGTGATATTTTTTTTTAAATTACATTTATCCCTTACTTGCATTAATGCAGTTAATGCATTAATGCAGTTAATGCAGTTAATGCAAAAGTGTTTGGGTGATCTTAAAAAATAGAAAACACATCATATAAAAGTTAATGATTCCTGTCAGGGAAAGAGGTGCCCTTTGTGCTGTCCCTGCAGATCTTGGCTATAATCAGTTTAGAAGGGTTTCTAGTTCCCATATTGGTGACCAAAACTTTGCTGGCAGTTGCAGCTGCTTGATTTTTATTCCTGTGGCACAGGTCATTAGGGACTGCAGCATTTTGGCTGCTCCACCAGACATGTATTTCCATGAGTTTTAAATACTATTCAGTGGTACTGACCTTGCAGGAACAGTATGTGCCAGAGGAAACTCAGATATTAAGACTTCATAATTTTCCCTGTAAATCACTTTGTAACCCCGCATTAAAAGGAAAAAACTCTCTTAAAATATTTATTTCCCAACTGCAGTTATAAAAATAATGTTCTAATCTAAAAAAATTTAAAATACTAATAAATGGGAAAATCCACAGAGAACCTGTTAATGTCTAAAATCAAGCCAGCCCAGTGACTCAGATATTATTAATTGGTGTTGCTCAGTGTTCCCCTTCCCTGAGCCTTTTTTGAAAGATAAATAACTAATTTAAATAAGCTGCACTTTTCCCATCCTGGGTAGGGTGGTCTCAAAGCTGACAGTGCAAAGTGTAATCATTAAATAGGCATTTTGTGAAGGCAGTGGCTGTAACAGAGGCCCTGGTGTGTGTTTCTTCCCCTCCTTGTGAGCACTAAGCAGATTATTTTGGTGAGTCCCCCCTGAAGGCGCAGAATAAAGCAGACCCCTTTTGGTAGGAATGGTCCATTAAATTTTAGGTGACAAAATTCACTTGCTATGACCCCTTGGGTAAGCACACTTGGTCATTCCTGAACAGTTGTCCTAACTTGGACCCAAATGTTTCCTGCTGATAGAAATGCCGCTTCCTCCATTTGCCACACATTCAGAGCCAGCAGCTCATGGGATGTCTGCAGCTTGGGCAGGGTGTGTCATCCCACGGGGACAGAGAGGTGACACACAACTCATCCTTTCTGCAGGACCAGCTCTCTTTTTGCTGCTGTCACCCAGGATGAAAGGCTGCAGATACCCCAGGGCTGCAGCTGAGCTTTCAGTGAGATGAGAACTGCACAGATGCACCAGAGCAGCCCAGGCAGCCACTTCTGGGAAGATGATGAAAAAGTAAAGTCTGCCTAATGGATCCCAGTTCCTCCTCCTTCCCTTTTGGCAGCCCTTCATGGTGACACAGAGTGAGTACAAAGCCTGGCACCAAGACAAAATGCGGTGATTTGCGCTCTAAGTGTTCCTAAAGGCAAAAGGGATCTTTGAGGGCTTCCCTGAATTGATTCCTGTTTGAAGTAAAGCCAGAGCTTGAGCCAGGCTTTGCAGAGCTGCAGCTGCCTGCCCCATGGCTGTGGTACTGGGAATGAAGTCCCAGCCCAGATTTGGGGCAGGGGCTGGGCTGGACACAGGGGGAGCCCAGTGGGAGTTTGGGGAGCTCAGCCCTGTGCCAGAGGTTGTTGGGTGTTCAGCAGCTCAGCCCTGTGCCAGGGGGTGTTGGGGGAGCTCAGCCCTGTGCTGTGCTGAGGTAAAAGACAGCCTGGTGTGGGGATGGATCCTGCTGAGCATCTGGGCTCTCCTGGGACCGGCAGGGCTTCTGTCTGTGGTGTAAAAGTGACATGATGAATTCTCCATCGCAAACAGCACACAGAGACATTTCCCACTCAGTGGGGCCAGTGGGATCCAGTGAGAAGCAGAGACTGAAGGGGTGGGTGTTTGGAGCTTGTGATGAGCTGAGATGATGCTGACATCCTGCTCAGCCCAGGCACTGTCTCCTATTTTGGATAAGACCCCTTTGCTCCTGTGAACTGCTTATGTGGGGGTGCTGGGCTACATTTCCTGTCCCATCTGCTTTGCTTCTGATGAGAATTAAGTTTTGAAGCTGACCTTCCTTGTTGATGGCATCCTTCAAATCAGTTCCATCTCTGGGAATGTGAAGTCTTGGGGGAGAGGGGGGGGCTTGTTGGTGGTTTTGTTTAGGTTGGTTTTGTCTTTTTAACTTAAACCTTGTATAAAAATGTTTGAAATATACCCCTTCAGAATTAAAGTGGCATTGCATAATTTCTATATTAAGATTTAAATCCATTACAGTATTTCAAGTTCAGATAAACCAAATATTTAAGCCTAAGATGTTTCCTATTACCATGTAAAGAAAGCTACAACCCAGGGAATTCTCTGGCTAAACACACAAATAATGTACTTAATTGCAAACCACTGTAGTTCATGAAAACAGCAGCTATCATCAATCCTTTCTTAGGTAAAGATGAGGTGAGGCCTTTTCTAATCTTTTGATCATAATAGGATTAGCCACAATTGCCTCAAGTCACTAATTATGTAGATAATTTTCTTCATGTGCTCTTTTTAAAATGTAAACTCAGTGGTTTCTTTTGTAGCCGCTGCACCTATTAAAATACTTTTTTCTGCATTGTGAATTGAATTCCAACTTTGATTCAAAAGCAGCTTGACATAAGTTGGAGCTAAAAATTTAATTATCTAAACAACAAGAAATGTAAAAAATAAGAAAAAGTATAGTTGCTAACATGGTGTGCTATTAGCATAAAATATTTGAAGTTACTAGTTGTGTAATGCCACAACCAGTGACAACTTTTACCAGGCAATCAGAATTAGTTTTTTTCTTTGGGGAAACATTAACAAGTAACAGGAAATATACAATAGGATTAACAACAGTTACTTAAATGGAAATATTTTGGCTGCAGTCAGTGGCTCCTAAGTCAAACTGCTACTCAGATCATCCCTCCTGTGTGCACTGTGTTCCCTCCAATGTTTTCTGTGTTTGAGTACATGAGTTGGGCTCCCCATGCATTGTTTGGGGGGGCAGCAGGGACCTGGCACTGCTGTCAGCTTTCCTGGCCCCAGAGCAGCAGGAGCCCAGGGCTGTGTGGGGATCTGAGCTGTGCCTGCTCCAGCAGGGAATGAGACACTCCCAGGGTGCTTGGGCTCCGTTTTCAAGGCAGGTTTTGCTCTGTTTCAAACAAGGATCTGACCTTAGGACACTTGGGTCCCTTCTCTGCTTGCTCAGGGTATGTGACCGTGTTCACAGGGGTCTGAGGATGAGGGAAGAGATGAGGATCTGACTCCATGTTTTAGAAGGCTTGATTTATTATTTTATGATATATATTATATTAAAACTATACTAAAAGAACAGAAGAAAGGATTTCATCAGAAGGCTGGCTAAGAGTAGAAAAAGAAAGAATGATAACAAAAGCTTCTGTCTCGGACAGAGAGTCCAAGCCAGCTGATTGTGATTGGCTGTTAATTAGGAACAGTCATATGAGACCAACCCCAGATGCACCTGTTGCATTCCACAGCAGCAGATAATCATTGTTTACATTTTGTTCCTGAGGCTTCTCAGATTCTCAGGAGGAAAAATCCTAAGGAAAGGATTTTTCATGAAAAGATGTCTGTGACAAGGGTACAAGAGTGCCAGGACAGAAATAAAAGCCCCTCCTGGTTTGTCAGACATGGGCAGAGCAGCTGAAGGTCAGTGATGAAGAAGGGACATTCCAGGAGAGGCTTCTCCTGTTATTTAAAATCCTCTCCCTCTCTTATGCAAAGCATACAGTGACAGCCACAGGAAGTGTCATTAACCTTCCTCTCATTTGGGGAGGAACTGTTTGACTGCACTAAAATTATTATGAGTGATATACTGGGTATAAAACAGGAATGCTAATTGGGAATTAAGCCAGAAGAGAGGTGTCTGAGGGACAGAGTGAAGGGTGGTGCTGGCATTTGTCTCATTCTCTGTGTAAAGGACTACAGGAAAAGGGAGAATGGCAGAGGGCAAAGCTGCAGCCATGAGGAATTGCTGTGGGTTTAATGTGTTTGCTGTACCCACCTTTGCTGGCTGAGAGCTTGCTTCTGTGCACCCAGTGCCAAACATCCATGGAATGAAAATTCTGCTGTGGTGGAAAATATTATTGCTGGCTTTTCCTGGCTCTGCTTAATTTTCTTTCCTCAGAGTGTTCTAAAATACTTAAACATCCTATATTGTCTGTGCTGGCTCTTTAGCAGGGAAGGAGCAGTGTGCTCATGCCTTGGGGCTTTGGATGTCACCAGCTGAATTGGTAGAGCAGATTAAAGTCAGATGGAGGCAGTTTTGAAAATCCTCTCTTGGACAGTGCTGAGTTCTTTGGTGTCCACTGGAGAAAATGCAGTTTTGTGTCAAAACTGCTCTTTCCCATCAAAAGATCAGAAAGAGAGTTAATCCTCTGCCCTCTTGTGATTGTGTGTGTGTGTTGCTTTGCTGTGGGGTGCTGAGTTGGGGTTTTGTGCTGGGTTCTTTATTTCTAGATCAGAAAGTGGCTGTTGGTTGTGAATTAGAGATTTTTTTAAATCAGGCCTCCAGAGGTGCAGAGCTATCTTCTTATTATTTTTTACATGCCACAAAGCTGCTCAAAGGAAAACTGAAAGCCATACTCTGCAAAATAATTTTATTTTGCTTTAGTTAGTAATATTCAGAATTACAAAAACTGGATTTAAATATTTATTTTCTTATTTCGTTTATGTTTTGGGGGTTTTTTTGTTTGGTTTTTATGGTGGGTTTTTTGATTTGGTTGGTTGATTGTTTTTTGGTTTTTAGGGTTCTATTTGTTGGTTCTCAGTTCTGGGGTAAAGGGCAGACACAGCCTGTCCTGCCATATCAGACTCTTTCCCTTAAACCAAAGAAAAATTCACCCAATACAGTGTCCATGTTGTGTTAAAAATGCAACTACAGTCCATGCAGGCATACTTCCAGAGTCTAGAACAAATAGAAGAAATATTTTTACTTGTTTCTGGGCTACAAGAGAAAAACTTTGCAGCTGACTAACCCTCGTGCAAGGAACAAGTTATTGTCTTAAACAGGATTGTAACATTCTTGTTTGAGAAGAATGGTGTGAAGCCAGCACAGGTGACTTTTCTTCCTAAAGCCATAAAAATCTCCATGAGACTCCTTTGTCATACCCAGAGGGCTCAGGGAGGGAATCCTGAAGGAACTGAACTCAAAATAGAAATAAAAATGGGGGTAAAAATTGAGTAAAACACTCTTCTGTGCCTCAGTCAAAGAAGTTCAAAATTTAGTTAAGTATTCAAGTTTTTTGTGATTTTTTTTGAAAGATAAGTCTGAGTAATTGTGTAGCAGCATTGACTACAGGGCTAAACTCAGCTTGCAATATACTGAAAAATATATTTATAATGGTAGAGAGTCTTAAATGCTCTAGCATTATTCTCCTATTGCATTGGCTTTAAACTTACACTTTTCAAGTGAACAGCAACTTAATTCTTAATTAAAATCACTAAGCAAGTGCAGATTATATTTAATTTAAATATTTATTGACTTTGTTTAAGTGTTCAAAATAGATTAGACTTTGAACAGCAAAACTGTTAATATCTGAATGATAATTTTACTTCTGAGCCAAATAAAGAAGCTGGTCAGGAATAGAGCTAAGAAGTTGCTGTGATTAAGGAAATACTTTATAACGTATTTACAGAGGGCCTTTAAAAATGAGGCCCTCTTTTATTTACTGGCTCTCCAGTAAAGAAAAATTTTGTTGCATCTGATAGTATTTTAAATTCTGATCGTGTTTTAAAGTCTTGTATTTTCTCTTAGCTTTCTAGGAATTGCAGTTCTTCCTGTTGCACCAAGTACAACTGCAAAAAATATTCAGTGAACCAATAAAAAGATAAAAACACACCAACCTGCTAATCCCCTTGCATTTTATGATGCTAAACATGTTAAATTGAAGCCCATGGTCAACCCAGTTGATTTCACTAGTCAACACATATGAAGTTAAGCATGTATGTAAATGTTTTCAGAGTAGAAATAAAAACTTTGCACAAAGAACATTTTCACAGTGTTAAGGGTATCCCTATCTGTAAATAGGTTATTTGCATTTGGATGTTCCCCCAGCAGTATTTGCTAACCCAGAACATCCTTTGGCACAGCATTTTCTGCACTTTGGCTCAGCCCCACTGCCAGACCACCAAAGCTTTTTCAAGGACCAGTTCAAACTCTTGGCTTTTCTTTCCTGTTCTCCTCTAGGCCAGTTTTATTCCCTTTTCATTTTGAGAAACAGCTTCTCTATTGCATTTATCTGTCACATGCCTAACGGCCTCCAGGTCCTGCAAGCTTTAGGGTGATTTAATGTAACTTGTAGGTTTAATTTTGCAGAAATGCTCATGTTGCCTAAATAACACAATATGTATGAAATCTTTGAGGACTGAGTTTGAACCTTCTGGAAGGCTGTTTGGTAGTGTCTCACATTTTTCAGTGTGGCAGAAAGTGCTCCTGAGACTGACAAGCTCTTTGTGCATTCCATACAGATGCTTCAACACTCTTCCCTTGGTTTGTTCTCTGTGTTGTGAAGCCTGAAGAGCTGCAAGACCTTTTCTGCTTTGTCTTTATACTGCTATGAAGCATTGTGTGAATTGTTTCAGATTCTGTTTCCTGTCTAATTGTACGCTGCTGTTTAGGCTGGAATAGAGCATGTGTTTAATTTTTCTTGGCCTCGTTACATTTCATTCCCTGCTTCACACATGGCCTGTCCTGTTAGTCCATAAATCTGATCTAATCTAATCACTGTAAATCCTCTCTTTCACCTAGCTGTGTGTCACCAGCAACAGCAGTCACTTTGGAAATTGCTTTCCTGAGAGGCTGTTTTACAAAAGATCAAGGAGGAGGCCCTGTGCACTGTGTAGGGCTGGGGTTTCTCACTCCTGCAAGGCTCAGAGCAGCTGCTGCACTCTGTGCTCTGCTCTTGGGCTCATCTCAGCAGCTGTGCTGCTGCAGGACCAGCAGCTTGAGGGAGGGCCTTGGGACTGTAGCACAGCAGAGTCTGCACTGGGGTTTGTCACTTGTGTGCAGGATAAATTACATCATATTGGGTGGCCTGGCAAAGCAGAGTTACCAGCTCAGAGCCACTTTTGTTGCAAAAAGGGCTTTTTAAAGACAGACATTTTGTGGTACTTGAAAGCAGACAGTGATGCAGAGTGAGGAACCTGCATTGGATGGTCCATCACAGGACCCCCTTATACACAAACACACTGTGCACATCTTCTGTGCCTCCTGCCTGGCTTCCTTCCCTTTGGAGAGCACTGATGGGCTGATATTTGGTATATTGGTATTACAGTAGGTCTGTGGGTTAGCTGGCATCAGTTACATCAGTAATTTTCCCATTTTCCTTGCTTACAGATGTCATTGCCCTCCCCAAGCTCTTGCTCCCCTGCTGACCCTGCTTTGGGGCTGGTTTGGGGCAGACACTGCTGCAGCCAACACAAATCTGCTCCTGTCCTTCCCTGTGCTGCTGCTTTTGCTGCTCCTTCCCCCTCTCATTTAGCCCTGGGAAGAGATTTTGACTTTTTTGGGTTCCTGCCCAGCCTCTGCATGAAGGCTTCCCTGGAGCTGCTCCAGCTCTGGGCTCTGTGTGAGCTGTGGGGTGCTTGGGGGCAGTTTTGCCATTTTGTTTTCTTGGCCTGTGCAGTAGGGATGTTTTGGAGCAAGATCTGTTCAGTTCAGTGTGTCAGGTGTGACAGTGGTCACAAGGGTTTCAGGATGAGAGAGAGACAAGGAAGTTGACTTCATGTTCAGAAGGCTTGATTTATTATTTTATGATATATATACTACATTATGACTATACTAAAAAGAAATAGAAGGGAAAGTTCTTAGAAGTTCTTAGAAGGCTAGCTAAGCTAAGAATAGAATAAGAATGAATAAGAATGAATAACAAAGGTCTGTGTCCCAGCAGAGAGCAAGAGCAGCTCTGCTGTTAGTGGTCAGTAAATCCAAACATCCACAGGAGACCAATCTCAGATGCACCTGTTGCATTCCTCAGCAGCAGGCAACCATTCTTTTCATTTTGTTGCTGAGGCCTCACAGCTTCTCAGAAGGGGAAAAATCCTAAAGAAAGGATCTTTATGAAAAGAAGTCTGTGACAGTCAGGCTTTTCCCTGGCCTGGGCTCCTGTGCTGAATGATTCCCCTTGCCTCTGATTCTGTGTTCCATGATACCTGTAGTGGTTCATGGACACAACTCACTCTTACAGAAGGATGCCATCCACTGTCTTGGATAAATGAGTTTAAGATTCATAAGTAAGAAAAACATGACAAAATTGAAATACTAGTATTTTTTTTTCCTGAATCCCTCCACCTTGTTTTTTATTTCCTTCTGATATTTGACTAATCAGGGAGAGTAAGCAGGGATGGGAACATGCCAGTTTTTGATTGGATTACTGAAAGGCAGTTTCCAAAGCCATGTGACACCACTACAGCAAAATTCAATTAGGATGCTTCATAGAGGTTTTAATTGATTAATGTATTTATTTGATTTTGTGAGGTTTAGTAGCTTTTTAATGATCTTTTGAATGTTTCTGGTTTTTAAATGACTCATATTACTTGTCTTTCTAGCCCAGAGGTGCTGCAGCATCATGTGGCATGCTCTACTGGCTTTTTTCAGTCCACTAGTGACTGCTGAAGATATAAATTCTCCCTGTTGCACAGAAATATGCCAGAGTATTCCCTTCTGCTAATTTTTCAGATGTGCTACTTTAATTAACAAAGCTAATGCTTATGGATCTGATTGCTGAAAAGCTCTGGTGACAGATTAAACCTTCCTGTATGAGCTGGTTTGCTGTGTTTGCAGAGGAACCCTTCAAACCAGTGCAAGCTTGCTTCAGTGGAACCCAGAGAAGAAATTCAGTGATAAACTAGATTAAATAAACAAGTGAAGCAGAGTGGGGGAGAGGGGTGTGAGCTCTTGTTGTGTTTGTGTGATGAAAGCTGCTTACACTTGGATATGTTAATTATGGGCAATTTCTCCTTGGTGTTGTGAGGTTTGAATCACTCAGAACTATGTTTAATGATAAAATACTAAAACCAGAACAAATTCTGAGTAAGCCACAGCTGACCAAGCTGTCCAATTATTGGGATTTTGTCTAATGGACTGATTTAATTGGGATGTTTCAAACATACTCTAGAAAAGCCACAGACATTTAAGTTTCAAGCATAAACATTGTTTTCCATTCACCTCTCTCTCTCCATCTCTCTCCCCAGAGATCTCCCTGGCACGTGTGAGTCTCCTCCCTGGTGAGCAGCTCAGCCCAGTGCCACCCCAGGCTCTGAGTGCTTTGGGAAGAGCCCTCTGAGTTCCTGCTAGGGCAGCCCTGAGCCACCAACCTGCCCAGCTCATCACCCAACCTGCTCTGGAGCAGCTCAGAGGGGCTGAATCCCCCATTCCTGCTGTGCTGCCACATCTGCTCCACGCGGAGGAGAGCTGGGGCTCCGTGTCTCCGTGGGATCCTCGCCCTGCTCACCCACGGCCTCTGCTGCTCCTGCCCCTGCCAGCTGCTCCTCCACCCACCAGATGTGCAAGAGGCTGCAGAGGGCTCCCCTCCCTGAGCACAGGTGCTCTCCTTCCAGAAAAAAGTAAGTGCTGCTTACTCAGCAAGGGCTGGGGCAATGTGTAACTGTGTGTCCAGGTGAGGAAACTGCTGCTCCTTGGGAGCAGGGCACGCCAGAATTCTGGCAGGGCTGGGCTGGGAATGTGCCAGCTCCAGCAAACTGCTCCTAATTTGCCTGGCAAGGCAGCTCTCCCAGATGAAGTGAGATGTGATGAAGCCAAAATTCTCTTCAGGAAGGTTTATTTGGTTAGAAACGCTTTGTTACCAAATACTGCTTCTGACTAATTCTAACTTTCAATTCGGCTCAGTTCACCTCTGTCTTTGTTTTAAATTCAGTGGTACTTTACACCAAGTGTTCTCATCAGCCAAGCCACTGCTGCATTTGTACACAGGATAGTTTAGTGCTCATCTGTCTCATTTCTTTACTGTCCAAGATGAATCTCAGGGGACTGAAGCTCTGAACCAAGTGGCTTCAGGCTATTCATCTGGAAAGCAGAGCCACTTAGACCTTTGTAAAGAAAATAATTTAGTAATCAGTGCAAGAGGCCAGTCTCTAAGCTAACCCATTCGGAAAAATTGCCAGTGCAGTAACTAGAGACATTTTATGACAATAATACTGATTATGTCCTTCCATTATTGCAAGAATTTCTTCTCCTCTACAACTTCAGGACTGAGTTGGTTTTGCACCAACTTCTATGATCCCGTGCATTAGAAATGGTTTTTAATTTGAGATTGGTGCTGCAGGGCTGGACATTGAGCTGCTGCAATACAGTGGAAGCACTGGGAGGTGAGGAAGACACTGCTGCCCTCCCAGCCCTGTCCATCCTCCCTCAGGACCCCGATCTCTGCTCTCCTGTACAAAGGGGTGAAAGGGGCAGTTTGGGGGTGTTTGCCTGCAGCCCCTGCCTGCCAGCCCACACAATGCCCAGCCCAGGCTCCAGGGGTCTCTGGTGTCCTACCCTGCTCTCCAGCTGTGCCAGTTCAGGGCATTCTCACCCAAACACACAAGATTAGAACTCTCTTAGGCTGTACACTGTGTTCTGCTAATTAAATATATGTGGTGAGTCTTAGAACTTTAAACTAATCTCAGACTTCAGGCCCTTATCTTAGAGGTTTTCCTTATTCTCTGTGCAAATGGGAAGATACTTGTGGTCCTGAGCACATTTAGCAGAGTTGTTTCTGTACCTTCCAGTCAGGAAGGATGTCCTGCAGTGCTGGAGTTCAGCCAAACACAAAAAATACTGATTCCATTTTGAAAAATCTTTCTGGCAAGCATAAAGTTTGGGGTGAAGCACAGCATAAAATAAAGTGAAGGGGAGACTGGTCTGTAGATATAAGGTTAATGCAAGGTTTTGGATGTATAGTTTATAGTTTATAGTTTTGCTTTTATTTGGATTGCCCATGGTTTGCAATATTTTGAAAGCTTAAGGATTAGGGTAAAGGATCAGGTTCCTCTGTCTGGACTAGTGAGATATTCACTGCTCCCTATCAACAGTTACATGTCATTTAGGGAAAATTCCTGCAGAGGTTTGCTATCCTGGCTTTTTTGCTGTTGGCTGCTACATGGAAAAGATGTGGGGCTAAATTTCCCACCAAGTGGGAGGAGGGGGACAGGTTATTATATGTCTCCATTTCAAACCCAAGCATCTCCAGGCACCACTTCCCCCAGCAGCTCACAGCAAGGCAGTCCAGACTCAGCACACAGATCAAATCCACTGTTTTGCCATCTTGGTTTCATGTGGTAAAGGTTACTGCCAAGTTCAATTAAATACATGGAAAAATAAAAGGAGGAGCAGAAGTGATGTGCCTTGAGGCACAGAAGCCTTTATGGTGCCTCTCACAGGCTCAATTACATTGCTGGCAACTATTTTCAGCACTGTTTTTTGAGCAATGTTAGTGAGGAGAGAGCAGAAAGAAAATAATTCGAAATTGATGTGCCCTAAGGGCTCATCTAGAAGATTTTCACTAGTTTCATAAACACTCTGTACACTTAACCTAAAAAAATATAGCAGAATTGTTTATCTCCTTTGCATAGTCTTGTCTTTCATCTTCTTGATTTTTCTTGTACTATCCTTGTCCCTTAAAATTGAGAGAAATGTATTGAAGTTTACGTACTATAAAATCAGTAGCTATTTGAAGGATGTTTTGAGCAGCACTTGAGCAGAAAGACAAGGTCTGCAGACAAGGTCAAGGCTCCAGGGATGTCTCACTGGTGATTGGAGCCTTGTGAAGTTTCAGACTGCTTCAGCACATCCTCCTCTGATGGGTGGGAATGATTTGTTGGGCTTTGACCAAAAATTAACAATAAAATAACTTCCTGGTGGGGAGACAGAAAGCTTTAACATCACCAAACTCGTGGATTTTAACAGTGAAGAACTGTACTTCTGGAGAGGGAAACTATTTCCACAAAAAACCCATGGTTGCTGTCCAGCAGTGAAAACACTGTGAAGAACAACACAAGCGGTGTCTGGGGGAGGCATTTTTCAGTGACAGCTGCAGAGGAATGGCTTTGTGCTTTTCTCAGGAGAGAAAACACCCGTGTGCTCCATGTGATGGTGTCCAGGACTCACTGCCTGCCCTGCTGAGCACCTGGTGGGGATGTCCTGCTGGCCCTGCTGTCTCTGGACCAGGAGCAGGAGAAGCCAGCTCCAGCTGGATTTTATACAGAGCCATTTGTTCCCAAAAGTGCCAACAGATTTCAGTGACTGCTGCAGTTGTCAACAAGTTCCCCCGGCATATTCTGTAATGATTAAGGTCCTTAGAGGTTTTGGACTGCTTATGTTTCTCGGCGTAGCTGCAGATTGTGAACATAAGGGTTGCATCCAGTGATTTAAATAATTAATTGAAAGGCAGAGGTTCCTTTCCTTCTGTGCACTTTGGGTAGGGACATTCCTGCTGATTCCACATTTGAATCACAGAATATTCTGAGTTGGAAGGGACCCCAAGGATCAAAGAGTGTAGGGCGCACAGGGGTCAAACCCAGGCTCTGACCAAGTGAGCTGTGCCTCTGTCCTCTTGTGCAGAAAAGGACAGGTAGCTGGATGTGAACTGAAAACTTGTCACTTTTTGCCCTTGACACACACAGTTGCTCTCAGAAGCAGCTGGTGCCTTGCTGCTCCCAGCACCAGAGTGCTTTGTTTGATGACTTAATCAGCATGTTATTCCATTAGGTACCGTTTGTGGGTTCGAATGCAGATTTAGGACGATCGTTTTTGTAATTTAAAATAAAAAGGTAATTTCTTCAAATTCCAAACATGCCCATGGTGAGAGGGGCCATGTCCTGTTCCAGATTTGCTCTGAGGCCAGGGCCAAGCAGGCTGTGTGCTTGTCTGAGCAGTGCAGGGCAGTGGCTTTGCTGGTATTGCACCAAGGCATTCATGAAGGTACAGGCTGATAGGAGGCCCAGTGTTTACAGAGCTTTATTTCTGAAAAAGAGAGAAAAGTGTGAGTCCTTCTGCTCCATTACAAAGACTGTTGCTTTTTATGCTGAACAGAGATGTGCTTGTTTTTTTGTTTCCCCTCTGGAATTAATTGAAACTCTTTAATGATGATTGAATTAAAAGCTTCTTCTCCATATATTTTATGATATTGCGAGAAGCCTGATCTGGTACATTCCAGAAGAGACTTTTCATCCAAATTTACCTTCTGCTGTTCTTGGTTCTAGCTGATACTAGACACTTCAACAGATCCAGTATATTCAGGTTTTTTGGAAAATATAGAAAGGTACATTTCACATTATTGACCTTTGATTTGGCAGTGGATGTGGGTTAGGCTACATCTTACATTTTCTTTTGAAAGGGATTACAACTTTTTCTTTTTTGCAAAAATTCAGTTGCAGCAAAGTGAAGGCCAGCTTTTCATGGGACCTGACCTTTTATTGCTTGGGCTTCCTTCTCACCTTGTTCTGAGTGGTTTTTATGGCCACAATTTCACTGTGTTTAGAGTGCATGGGACCAAACCCAGACTATTATGATCATGCTGAAGACCTTGAGAGCAAGCTTGCTTTGCAGGAGACTCAGGAGTGTTAACAGTTGGTTTCCAATCCTGCATGTACAGTTTAAGTATTAATTTGGCTGCTACACTGCCCTAAAGCTGCAGCATTAATCAGGAGTTAATCAGTAATCCTGTCTTTCACAAACTTTTGTAAGTTTACAGAATTAGAGCTTTCTCTGGCAAAGAAATTTCTTGATCTTGTTAACAAGGAAAACCAGAAGCTTAAAGCTGACAAAAACACAGTGCTGTTGCTTGGATTTTGATTTTATTTTGAATTTCTGTTGTCTGATCATAGCATGCTTCCTCAGTTTGCAGGCAAGGACATGAATGAATTTCATCCACAGCCCCAGGTTTGCCCCAGGCTCTGCTGGGGACAATGGATGTTCTCAGACAGTCATGTTCCTTATCTCCTTCCTTTTCTCCCTAGTGTCTTCCTAACTAGGAGTGCCCAATTGCCTCTTAATTGGCTTCTTTCTTTTAATTGACCATCTCTCCTTCTGGATGGCAGCAGTGCTGACCTGCTTTCTCTGCTGGAGATGCACGTTGTTGTAGCTTGAGACAAGCTGTTAAAAAGAAAAAAAGAGAAAAAGAAATTCGAATTTATCTGGCTTGTGGGTAAGCAGGATCTTAAATGCTGCAATTTGCTTCACAACTCCCTTTAATGAGCGGGAGGGGGCACCTAGCTGTTTTCTTTAGCTTAGGACATCGAATCTATCCCATATGGACAGGAATGTAAGTATTTTTTCCTAATGTCTATTTTTTGTGCTGATTTTTACACATCCTGGGCAGGTCAATCAGTAATTTTGAGTGCAGTGTGTGATTATCACATATCAGAGGTCACCTGAGGCTGTGTTTTGAGCTGAAGACAGGGTGTGCTTTCTGTACCTTGAGAGATGTTCCTTTCAGCTCACTGCTCAGCAGACCTTTCCAGAGGCTTTTCCTGGTTTATTTTATTCTTGGCTTCTCCTGACACCCACAATGGCTGCAGGAAGATGGGTGATCTGCATTGCATAAGAGCTGTCAGCAAGCAGG